TTGTCTCCGTCTCCCTAAAGTGTACTTAATCTTTGCTTTCTTTGCACAATGTCTTTGGTTGCAAGTCATAAGCCTGAGGCAAATAAAATTCCAGTAATTTCGAAGAATGTGGTGTTGGTGATTTCCTAATAAACATAATTTTGCTCCACTAAAAAAAAATAAAATAAAATAAAGTCACTCAAGAAACAGGATTCAAAGAGCCTGTAACATAGCTCAGCGGACTAAACACCTGCTTAGACAAGTGCAGGAACTGGGGCTCAATCCCCGGCGTCACAGGCCACACCGGCACCGCCCAAGGGCACACTGAACCAGCCACCAAGATCACACATGAAGGCGCACACCTGTGATCCCAGCGCTGGGGAGGCTGAAAACAGGAGGATCACTAGGAGTCCAAGCTGCCTAGTGAGACCCTGGTATCAAATACATTTTTTTTTTTTTTTTTTTTTTTGGTGGAACCGGGGATTGAACTCAGATCCTTGCATTTGCCAGTCAAGCGCTTATCCTACTGAGCCATCTCCCCAGCCCATCAAATACATTTTAAAAGAAGAAAAGAAAGAGGATTCCAGGACAGTTGCAGAAAGTGTCAAGAGCTGGACATGGTGGCGCACACCTGTCACCCCCATACTCAGGAATCAGAGGCAGGAGGATCAAGGGTGAGCATTCAAGCCCAGCCTGGGCTACGAAGTGAGACCTTCTCTTAAAGAGAAAAAGAAAAAGTAGTAAGGACGAGCCATGCATGGTGACATATGTCTGCAATCCCAGCATTTGGGAGGCTGAGGCAGGAGGGTTAGTATGAGTTTGAGGCCAGCCTGCACAACATACATAGTGAGACCCGGTCTCAAAAAAAAAAATAATACGGATAATGGGATAAGGGTGTGCGGAATGAGGGGGAGAGTTCTGAGAAAGATTCGTGGCAATGTGGCTTGTACTATAATAAATATAAATAAATATCCACCGTATTTTTCAATCACATCTTGTACATATATAAAGAAAACTGTGAAGTTAGGGCTGCTGGAGGCCTAGATGTGGCTTTACTCTCACTGGTTGGATTAGTTATTATGTTAATCCCTGTAACCACACTGTGGGCCTCAGTTTCCCCACTTATAAAATGGGCAGAGTTGTCACCACGGTTGAGTATTAGGGCAAAAGGGCTCAGTGATTAATACATAGAACACCTCTTCAGAAAGGCAAGGACACACAAGGACACACAGGAGTTACAGCTGAGAATTCCAGGCAGCGAGTGGAGGTACACACCTTCCATCCCAGCACTCTGGCAGGCTGAGGCAGGAGGATCACAAGTTCAAGCGCAGCCTAGGCAATTTAGTGACTTATAAACACTCTATCTCAAAAATAAGTAAATAAAAAGCACTTGAGATGTGGCTCACTGTGAAGATCTTTGGTTTAATCCCCAGTACCTCCCCCCAAAAAAGAAACAAAAACTATCAGCTGGGCTGGCCTGGGGAGATAGCTAGGCAGCATATGCGCCTGCCTGGCAAGCGCAAGGTCCCAAGTTTGATCCCCAATCCAGCATCCCATGCTGGCCTCAGAACCCAGGGCGCACCGTGCCAGCCCTGGAACTGGGCATGGTGGCACACGCCTGTAATCGTAGCACTCAGGAGGGAGAGGCAGGAGGATCGTTGCAGGTTTGAGACCAGCCTGGGCTACAAAGTGAGTTCACTGCCAATCTGAACTGCACAGTGAGACCTGTTCTCAAAAAAATATAGTCAGCCAGCCAGGCATGGTTGTGCCCCTGTCATTCCAGACTTCAGGAAGCTGAAACAGGAGGATCACTGAGTTCAAGGACAGCTTAGATTACATAGCGAGACTCTGTTTGAAAAAACCAAAACCAAAACCAGAAAAAACTATCAACCAATCCTGTTCCCAAAGTCTTTAGGCCGCGTAAGCAACAGCACTGCTCAGCTGGGAGGGCAGGAGGGCGTCGGCCACACTCAGACCCCTGTGGCTGTGCCAGAGGCTGGCTTTGTGGGCTGTGAAATGTGGCCAGGCCCCAAAGACCAAACCCTGGCACTGTCACCAAGCCTCCTACTTACTGACCTTTGACCTAGTGCCAAGCACATAGTCAGGACCTTTTCCTCTCCGGTAGATGCACAGTGGGGTGGCAGCAGACTCCCAAAAATAATGATCCAACACCTCAGAATATGCTCTTATTTGGTATTTGGGAGGCTGAGGCAGGAGGATCACAAGTTCAATGTCAGCCCAGGCCATTAAGTGAGACTGTCTCAAAGTAAAATTAGAAAGTGCTGGGCATACAGCTCAGTGATGGTGGTTGCCTAGCATGGTTGAAGCTATAGGTTCTATACCGAGCTCCCAAACAAAAAACAAGCCCCTGATTCATGTTTTTTTAGAATTTTTTCTTTTTCTCTATAGTTGTATCTGGTACCGGGACCTCTTCTATATTTAATCTCTATTCTTTTTATTTGTTTGCAAACAGGATCTCACTATGTACCCCAGGCAGCCTCGAACTTGTATGATCCTCCTGCCTCAGCCTCCTGAGTGCTGGGATTACAATTGTGCACCATTACCATGGTCAATTTAATCTCCATTCTAAGGGCCAGACAGATTGCTCAGCAGATTAAAGCACCTAGTTAGGCAGGCGCAGGGACCCCGGTTGGATCCTTGGTGTGCCATGCCATGCTGGCCCTGCCCCCGGGGGCACGCTGAGCTGGAGACTGAAACTGAGCATGGTGGCGTGAGCCTGTAATCCCAGCACTTGGGAGGCTGAAAACAGGAGGATCACTACAAGTCTGATCTGTGTAGTGAGACCCTGGAGTCCCTGTACCAAATACATTTTTTTAAATATTCCCATTCTACAGACAGGAAAACTGAGGGTCAAAGGAGCTGGCAGAGAACATAGATGCCTCCTGCTTACCCCTGGCTGGGAGGGGCGGGCCCAACACTGGGGTGCAGCTGGGAGGAGACAGAGCCCGCAGAATCCCCAGGGGCCAGGACTGCTCACCCTGAAAGCTGGGAAAGTAGGTGGCCAGGTGGGAGGTGGGGATCTTCTCTTCCAGGATGTCGGTCTTGTTCAGGAACAGGATGACTGAGGTGCTTTTGAACCAGGGCAGCTCCAGGATGGTCCCGAACAGGGCCAGGCTCTCTTTCATGCGGTTCTGCAGGAGGGCAGACAGGCAGGGTGTGGCTATGTGGCCAGCCTGGCCCCAGTGGGACCCCAAGCCTGAGCTGCGGCCGCTCCTCGAGAGCTGTGGGGCCTGGGCCTGCAGCCTGAATGAGCCCCACCTGCAGCTGAGGACTGGCACAACCACCACCCCCTCCCCGCCACCACCGCAAAGCCATGTCCATTCACCACACCATGGAGGGTCCTTATTTGGAAATGGGGTCTCTGAGGTTGGGAGGGAGGCCCTGCTAATCCCAAGAGAGGCAGCCTTATGAACAGAGAAGATCTGAGCCAAGTGTATTAGTACACGCCTGTCACCCCAGCACCCTGGGAGGCTGAGGCAGGTGGATCCCAAATTCAGGCCCAGCCTGGGTGACTCAGTGACTTAGCCAGATACTGTCACAAAATAAAAAATAAAAAGGCCTGGGGGTGGAACTCAGGTGAAGGCCCTGGGGTCAAGCCCTAGCACTGCAAAAGTAAAAATAAGAACTAAGAAGGGCCAGGGCCGGGGAGATAGCTCAGCGGTCTAAGTGCCTGCCTGGCAAGCACAAGGGCTCAGGTTCAGTCCCTAGTTCCACATGCCATGCCAGTCACTAATAACGGGCGTAGTGCATGTCTGTAATCCTAGCACTTGGGAGGCCGAGGCAGGAGAATCATCGGGAGTCTGAGACCAGCCTGGGCTACAAAGTGAGCTCAAGGCAGCCTGAACTGCATAGTGAGACCCGGTCTCAAGAAGACAAATGAGGTCGGTTGCTGTCGTGCATGATTCAGTAACTATCAGTCCATGACCAACTGACTTCTTCGAAGGAAACAAATGATCCTTGCTGCCCTTGCCCTGGGAAAGCAGCAGTACCTAAGACAGAAATTCGGGAAAAACTTGCCAAGAGGTACAAGACCACCCCAGATGTCACGTTTGTGTTTGGATTCAGGGTGGTGGCAAGATGACTGGCTTTGGCATGACTACAATTCCCTGGATTGTGCGAAGAAAAATGAGCCCAAACATAGACTTGCAAGACACGGCCTGTGTGAGACGAAAAAGACCTCAAGAAAGCAGTAGAAGGAACGCGAGGACAGAATGTAGTCAGGGGCGCCGCAAAGGCCTATGCGGTGCTGGCAAAAAACCGAGAGAATGGAGATTCTGCAGCATCCGTCTGCAGTGACTACGACTGTTTTCATGAGAGGATTTAATAAACTGTAAAAGCTTTAAAAAAAAAAAAAAAGGGGGCTGGTGAGATGGCTCAGTGGTCTAAAGCACCTACTTAGAACAAGCTTAGCAAATCACAGGGACCACGGTTCAATCCCCCAGCACCACATGCCAGCCAGCCCCGCCCCCTGGTGGGCTGAGCTGGCCACACACACACACACATACACACAAATAAATAAATAAAATTAAAAAAAAAAAAAGACAAATGAAAATAAATATTTTTTAAAAAATTGAAGGGCCGGGAAGATAGCTCAGTAGAATAAGTGCCTGCCTGGCAAGCGTAGGGTCCTGAGTTCAATTCCCAGTACTGAAAAGAAAAAAAAAAACAAAACAAAACTAAGAAGGGAGATCTGGTAAAGACCACATGCAGAGGGGATGGGGTGAAAATGGAGGCAGTGATGAAGGTGACATTTCCGCAGGCCACAGATACCAAGGTCCCCCGCAGTGCCACAGCTGGGGACAAACCTGACACAGACGCTTCTTGAAGCTTCCATGCAGATTTGCAGCCCCCAGGCCTGAGTGGAAGAAAATCAGTGCCTGTCAGCAAAGCTGCCCTGCAGACTGCTTTATTTATTTATTTATTTATTTTTTGCGGAACCAGGGATTGAATTCAGGCCCTTGTGCTTGCCGGGAAGCACTTATTCCACTGAGCCATCTCCCAGGCCCCTGTGGCTGCTTTATGTCACTGGCCCCAGGATCCTAGCATGTCCTTCGTGGCCAGGCCTGCCTGTGCTCTGCCAGAGTCCCCTCAGTCATCCTGTCTGGTTGGATGAGTCACCTCTCTGGGCAGACAGAGCTTCCTGCCCCTCGAGGTCTTCAGAGAAGGACGGGCGAGGAACACGAGGCGCTCACCTCCTCGTTGTTCTCTTCCAGGCGCTGGTCGTACTCGCTTAGGGACGCCAGATAGATAAGGGCGATGACATTCTCGAAGCAGTGAATCCATTTCTTGCGCTCCGACTTCTGGCCGCCAACATCCACAATTCTAAGGGAAAGCAGGACACGGCTTCTGAGCGTTCGGATTGAGCCAGGACCCTGCCCCATGGCACCCCAACCCTTGCTCGGGTCTGGGATGTCCTGAGTTCAAAACAGGAAGCGGATGAAACCATACCCAGCCTTGGCCCACGGCAAGGTGGTCACATGGCTTCTCATGGGAGATTAGCCCCAGGACTGTTTTTTGTTTATTTGTTTTGTTTTGTTGAGACAGGTCAGGCTATGTCTAGACTTACAGCATTCCTCCTGCCTCAGCCTCCTGAGTGCTGGCCTTACAGGACTGTGCCACCACACCCAGCTTCCTCAGGTCCATTTGACAAAGGAAGTTGGGTGTAGGAATGAGGAGGGACTGTCCCAAGAGTCAGATGACATAATATGGAGGGAGGGGAGACCATCACTCCACAAGGGGAGGACTCAGTTTCCCCTTGGGCAAGACTCAACCACTGAATCTGGGTGGCCATGGAGCACCCTGAGTGTGCAGGACAGGCACAGGGCTGTCCCCACACTCAGCTGCCCTGTCTGCATGCAGCCTGTATGCCACAACAAAAGCTCAGCCCCCCCTTCCTGTTATTTCTTTTCAGAAAGTGGGTCACTGATACTGATTCGATCTCCATGTCATCCTGGGAGCAACAGTTACTCAGGAAATTACGGAGCAGCACATGCTGGGACAAGCCCACCACAGCCCTGAGAACATGGGACTCTTGGGGGTGGGATGCATAGGAGGCTGAAGCCCTGACTCAGTACTGAGGGTAGAGCTGACACCTGCATCTCCTGACCCTGCTGCAGTGCTTCCCCACACATCTCCAAGCCCCCAAATTCCCATATCCAGACTGAGGTGGGGAGCGGGAGCCGAGAGCCAGGCTAACTGCAGAGGCGGAGACATGTGGAGACTGTGGCCCACAAGGCAAGGGGCCCTGGGGTCACCTCCCAGCAAGGGGGCTCAGTTTCCTCCAGGCTTTCCTTCCATTCCCTAGATTTTCTCCTTGGCCTAAGGGCACTTCCAAGGATCCCCAAGGAAAACTCACCCTAGCTCAACCTTACCTCTGGGATCCACAGCCCTCTCATCTCCACTATCCCATCCACCTTTCCACCCTCAACCCATTCACCCATCCATCCACCCATGCATCCACCCAACCATCGACTCACCTATCCATCCATCCACCACCCCATTTGCCCATCCATCCACCCATCCATCCATCCATCTATCCATCCATCCATCCATCCAGCTGTCCATCCATTCATCCAACTCCCCATCTGTCACAGTCCACCCACCCTACCATCCACCTGTCTGCCCACTCACCCACCCACTGTCCATCCACCTACCACCCACTCATCCATTTGTCTACCCACGCACCATCCATCTGCCCACCCTCATACACAGCACCCATCTTTTCTTCCACCAACCATCTAACTGCCTGCACACCCATCCTCCCTTCACACACCCCCTTCCACCCTTCCATCACATTTATCAGCACCCACTCTGATCCTGAGCTGACCCCAACCCAGAAGAGCCCAGCTCCCCTGTGCTAGGGGCACTCGTGGCAAACACATGATGAACCTGCTGGTAAAGACTGTGGGGAGGCAAAGCAGCATGCCCGGCACCCAGGGACAGGCAGGACCTGGCATAGGACCCAGTACCAGGCAGCACCCTCTTCCCACCCTGCCCCCCTGCACTGGTCAAAGAAATTGACCTTGCCCAGCTTGCCGGTGTAAGCGCTCTACGGCAGCCCAAGTCCTTTTTCTCTGTGTCCTTCTTGACCTCTCTTGGACCTGTGGCATGACCTTCACCCTGTGAGACCACCCATGCACCTGCCCACCCCAGCCCTCAGCCCTGGGCACCTGGCAGACTTCACCTGCTCCGAGGGGCTTCAGGTCTCTCCTGTCCGGACCCTGCCCACCAGCTGTGGCAAGCAGCTCACAATCAGGGTTCCCTGTTCTGATCCCCGGCCCCTGGGCCTGGCCATCCGTGCTGCCCCTCCTTTCCCTCCACACACCCACTGCCCCGCCCTGCCAGTGTCTTGGACCTGCCTCAACCCCTCTGTCCACCCTGACAGTGGCCAGTAGAGGCCATCCTCGAAGGGAGCTCCCCCAGCCCCGCAAGGGAGGGCTGTCGTCTCTGCCTAAACCTGACCACACAGCCTGTTTCCTGCCCCAGAAGCCCTTGAGGGCTGGGACTAGAGAACTCTCACTTATCCTACACCAGTGTCCCCCACTGGGAGACCCTCCCCTCCTTGGGCCCTGCCGCCTCAGTCTGGGCTCCTCCGGGTCCCAGTCCCGACTACAAGAGGATGGAACGTCTGCTTTGCCTCCTGCAGCCTGGCAGACCTGGAAACTCCCACCCATCCTTCCCGGACCCAGCGCTTTCACTCCCCCACATAAGACAAACCCCAGGTACACCCAGGCTGAGCACTCACCTCAGGTTAGTCTTCTGCATGGAGAAGCAGTACTCATTGATGCCCGTGGTGGGCATGCGGCTCCGCAGCACATCCTGGGCCGTTGGGATGTAGTATTCCTCAGTGATGCGCTCCAGCTGGGACAGGTAGCTGTGGGACAAGATTGCACTGAGGCCGGGCCTCGCAGCCGGCCATCCCTGTGCTGCTCCAACCCTCGCAGGGCCCAGGAGAACCGGCTGGAGAAGGGAGCCTTTGGGCCGTGCAAGGGCCAGGAGCCAACCCCCAGGCAGTGGGAGGCAGTGCGACCTCGAGAATAGCTGCACCCTGAGACAGACTTTCCCAGCTACCAAATCGCCCCGGAGATCTGGCATCCCCCAAAAGAACTAGGTACCTAAGGCGGAAAGGTGTTGGTGCAGGACCCGCCCACAGCACCCAGCTCACGGGAAGGAGCCAGGAGATCCGAGCATGCGCGGGTGGGCCTGCCAGCCACAGCAAGGCTCTGGCCCCGCCCTCTGCATTCGCTCCTCCCATATTCCCTGCACCATACCACACTCCTTGGCTCCTCCCACAGTCTTGTGTGTCATCTCTGGCTCCTCCCACATTCCTCAGCAGCCCCACTCCTTGCTCCCTTTAGCCCCCTATGTACTTGACCCCTACGCAGACCCCAGACTCACTAAATGGCGGAGTCCAGCAGGTGGAACTCGCGCCTGCGCTCGTAGCATGCCCGGATGCCCGCATCCTGCCACAGACTCTGCATGGCCACTGCATAGCGCTTCTCAAACGTGGTCACCTTATAAGGGTCCTGGCTCATGACCAGGCTGGCGTGGTGCTAGGGCAAGAAGCACGGGGAGAGTTAGACACTCTGCAGCGAGGCAGCCCCAGAACTCTCTACAAGCGTCTCCCCAAACATGCTCTCCCTCTGCCTTCCTGTCTCTCTGGGAGCCTCTTTTGGCTGTCCCCAAACCCCAGTGCACGCCTTGACCCATAGGGGAAAAAACAGGTCCTCAAGAGTTGGGACTAGTGAACTTCTCTTCATCCTTCAACACCCCAACATCAAACCCCCTCCTCCAGGAACACCTCCTCTCCTGGAGTCAGATTCTCTTAAAGGGAGCCACAGGGGCAAGGCTGGCCAGCAGCAGCAGGGCGGGAATGCACTGAGCACCTAGGGCCTGGTCACTTCTTACACGGATCAGCTCTCCCGAGGCCAGTCACCAAGATTGTCCCCATTTTGAGGGTCAAAGCAAAAAAGCCATTTGTCTGGTGTGGGCCCCACGGTCGGCCAGCCTGGTCCCCAGACGCTGTGTCCCCAGAGTGACCCGTACCATACCTACACTCAGCACTTGTCACAACCTGGAGGGTCATGGTAAGTACTCAGTAGGACAGGACACCTTTTCTTTTTTTAAATCATGGTGGCACTGGGGACGGAATCCAGGGTCTCCTACTGAGATCTCCCCAGGCCCGTTCAATTTTTAGTCGAGGCGGGGTTTGGCTGAGTCACTAAAATGCCCAGGTTGGGCTCCCACTTGCGATCCTCCAGCCTCAGCCTCCCTAACGTGGAATGACAAGCGTGCGTTCCTTTTGGCCAGCCAAGGCCCCCGCGTTTCTGGGCCACCTCCCCACCCTGCTCTCCTCCGGACGCATGCGCACATCTGGTTTCCGACGGGTCCTGCGACGGTGCCCGCGAGAGCCCTCCCAGCCAGGCAGCCCGGGGCCGGCCGGCTCACCTTGCTCTCCGGCCTGCTGAAGGGGATCTGCAGCCGCTCCATGGCGTCGATCATGGCCTGCATGGACACGAAGATGTTCTGGTAGACGAGCGGCCGGAAGCCCCTGCGGTCCTCCTCCGAGTAGCCGGCGCCATGGATGATGCGCAGCTGCTTGATGAATGTGCTCTTCCCGCTCTCGCCCGGCCCTGAGGACCGCACCACTCAGCCGCCAGCCCCGACCTGGGCACCCCTGGGACCCTGAGCCGCGGACGCCGCTGCGCCGAGCCTCAGTTTCCCCATTTATCCCTGGAGAGCAGCAACAGGCCCTACCCCAGAACTGCAGTGTATGCTGATCGAATCAGTGTCTTCCCTGATGGCACACAGGCCACCTGCGCCCCGCAGCCACCGCCTACTTCTTAGGACCAGTGCCGTGTCATAGTTCCTGCGACTTGTACAATTCTAGCCCTTTTCTTTTTTCATGATTACGGTTCTTGCTTTTTAAAGATTGCAAGAAGGCAAGCTTAGGCAAAGCGCAGGGACTGCAGTTCAATCCCAGCACCACATGCAGTGTCAGCCCCTCCCCCAGGGTGGGCTGAGCCAGCCACAAAAAAAAAAAAAAAAGCCATAGACCATGGAACACCCCTATAATTCCAGCTGTTTGGGAAGCTGAGGAAGGAGAATCAAGAGTTGGAGTCAAGTCTGGGCAATTAATTGTTTGGTACCGGGAATCAAACTCAGGACCTTGTACCTGTCAGACACCCACTTATGCCCCTGAGCTATATCTTCAGCAGCCTGGACAATTCTAGTCCCCGTTATGGGCCATTGGTGTCACCGATTCCACAACCCCCTGTGTTTCAGGCCAAGCACACATCAGTCCTAACATGCCTGGAGAGACACTAGGGCTCTGCCAGGGAGAGAAATAGACAGGTCTGTCATAGGGAGGCAGGGAGGCCCCTGCTGGATCGTTGGCCCTTTGGGAGAGCAGAGGTGCCCCAGGCTCACTGGCCCTTGGCTTGGAAATCGCAATTGACTTATTTTTTTGAGACAAGAACTTACTGTGTCATCCAGGCTGGTCTCTAACTCACTGATATTCTCCTGTCTGTTTCCTCAAGGCTGGGATTACAGGTGCACACCAGGACGCCCTTGCTTGTTTAATTATCTTCTGTATTTTTATTTATTTTTTAATGTATTTAGTACAGGATCTATAGGGTCTCACTACAGAGATCAGACTCATAGTGATCCTCCTGTTTTCAGCCTCCCAAACACTGGGATTACAGGTGTACGCCACCACGCCCAGTCTCATTTGCCGTCTCAGCGCGTCCCAAGGGCAGGGCTGGCATGGCAGGCCAGGAATTGAACCCCCAGCCCTTGCACCTGCCTAAGCAGGCACTTTAATCTGCTATCTGGCTGGCCCTGTACTTTAATTGATTAATTAATTTATTTATTTAGTATTTTAGGGAAGGCTCTGCAGGGTGTTCAGGGTCTCACTACTAGATCGGACTCACACGACAGGCCTGAGATTGAACCCCTGGCCCCTGTGCCTGCTTGCAGGCGCTTTAATCAGCTGAGCTTTCTGGCCAGCCCTGGTTTTTTGTTTTTTTTTTTCCGGAACCAGGGATTGAACTCAGGCCCTTACGCTTGCCAGGTAAGCGCTTATTCTACTGTCTGTATTTTTATTTTTAAGAGTCCAAGAGACCGCATCTTGCCTGAGCGGAGAGGTGACAGGGACAGGACTCCTGCTGCCTAGCTGTTTTTTCAAATGGAGAAACTGAGCCTCTGGCTGGCACAGGGGCTGTGTGGGGTGGCACACACCTGTGATGCCAGAGCTCAGGAGGCTGAGGCAGCAGGCTCACAGTGAGGTCAAGCCAGCCTAATCTGCACAGTGAGACGCCGTCTCAAAAACAAAAGAAAACATAACTAGACCGGCGAAGGAAATCACCCAGAGTCATGAAGTAGGTAACCAGCCAAGCTGGGGCTCAAACCCATCCTGAGTCCAGAGTACCTGGGCTTTGAAGTTTTCAATTAATTATTAATGAGTGCTTAATATGTGCAGGTGTTTATAGTCACAGGGTGACATTTCAGCACATGTAAACATCACAGCCCCTGCCAGGCTTGCGCAAGGTCCTGAATTTGATTCCTGGTATGGGGGGTGGGAGGTGGGGTGGGGGGAAGAATCACAGTGAAAAGGATTTAACTGTTGTCACTGCCCAGGCTGCCAGCCAAAAGACTGAGTAGAGTTTCACTGTTTTGCTAGTTGTAAAAGAGACATAGGGATCAGAGACTTCACGTGACCTGCCTGAGGTCACACAGCTAGAGGAGAACCAGAGAATCATTTAGGTCCTAACTGCACCTCACCACAGGGCTGGGGGCTGACAGCAGTGTGTCAGTGAGTGCGACGTCTCTGTGGACTCTGGGCCAGGAGACAGCTTCCCTGGGGAGCTGCCAGACACAACACAGAGACCCAGACCCTGTGACCACCTCCCTCCCCATCATGTTGGGAATCTCCAAACTCGGGTCTCCCTAAAAAGGGCAAGGATGGGGCTAGGGAGATAGCTCAGTGGAATAAGTGTTTGCCTGGCAAGCGCAAGGTCCTGAGTTCAATCCCTGATACCACAAAAAAGAAAGAAAGAAAGGACTGGGATGAAGCCCAAGTCTGATCTGGCCACTGCTATTTTGGTTTGTTTGTTTCACTACTCTGATTTCTGTCTCTTTTGTTTCATTAAAGACAAAAACAAAAACAAAAAAAGACAAAAACAAAGCCAGGCGCAGCAACGCAGGCCTGTCAACCCCAGCATTCAGGAGGCTGCAGCAGGAGGATCACCGGTCTTGACTACACAGTGAGTCTCAGGCCAGCCTGAGCTAAGAGCAAGACCTTGTCTCAAAAAACCTGAAGAGGGGCCAGGGAGACGGGTCAGTAGAATAAGCGCATTGTGTGTAAACCTGTAATCCCAGTATTCAGGAGGCTGAGGAAGGAGGAGGGTCGCTCTGAGGTCAAGGCCACCCTGAACTTCAAAGCAAGACTCTACCTCAAAAAACTCCTAAAGTCACCAGGAGAATTCTGTGTGTGTGTGTGTGTGTGTGTGTGTGTGTGTGTGTGTGTGTGCGTGTTGGTACTGGGGATCGAACTCCAGACCTTGCACTTGCCAGGAAGGTGCTTATGCCACTGAGCTATGTCTCTGGCTAGAGTTCTGTCTTTGAAGCCCATGGGGAGCCCAGTATGCTTCAGCGAAACCCCAGGAGGGGGGCACCGGGGGCTGTGGGAAGCGCCCTTCCCACCTGGTGGTGAGCAGCCCAGACAGGAAGCGGCCGCTTCCTCCTGGAGATGGAGGGGGAAGTGGAACCAGGCAATGCCAGGAAGGAGCGGGTGGGCTGCGGCCAGCCCCGGCCCTCAAGTGGACCCAGTGCCAGGGCCCAGGACCCAGGGCAGCTGGGGACAGAAGGCCAGGCCAGGCTTGAGACAGCTGGGTTGGGGACAGGACAGGAGACTCAGCTCCTGGATCCACCTCTAGTTCAGACTGCAAAGGCCCAAATCCAGACACCTCCCTGGGCTTCCATTTCCCCTTCTGTCACTGGGCCATTGTGGCTTTTCTCTCCCAGACAGAGACCCTGCCAGACTTTGGAGCTAGAGCCAATGCTGTGTGACCTCAGAGAACTGGCTAAGCCTCTCTGGTGCAGCTTCTGAAGCTGGGGATACTAAGGGAGTCCACCCACTGTGCTAAGCACTGGACAGGCTTCTTTCGTGACTTCCTCCTGACCACCCCCCACCCCTCGGTGATGACTTCATGCCCAGGACATATGTCCCCTCCCTGTCCCTGCCCTAGCCACCCCTTGGACAGCTTCCTCAAAATTCAGCCTCCTCCAGGGAGACGAAGAAAGATTGGATTCGATTCCTGTTTTCACACAGGAAGGGGGTGGAGAGGCCACCTGGGCGCAGTGCTGGGTCTGCTGGTGGCATCAGAACTGGGGACAGAGATGGCCCCTGGTGCCCCCGACAGAGGGGCTTCCTGGTTTGGGCTGTAATAGCTGATGACGAAGTCTGAGGTGCTCCCCCAAGACCGATCCATCCACACACCCATCCATCGACGCTAAGAACTTATTTACTTTTTGTTTTTTCACAATTGGGGATGACACCAAGGGCCTTCACAAGGGGCCGCAGCGCTAGTCCTTTTCATTTTTTAAGAATTTTGACCCAGGAAGGGCCACCAGATAGCTCAGTGGACTAAAGCACAGCGATGGGGGTTTGATCCCCAGCAAGCTGTGCCGGCCCCGCCCCCGGGGCACGCTGAGATGGGAACAGAGACCTCCCAGCGCTTGGGAGGCTGAAAGCAGGAGAATCACTGAGTCCGATCTGTGTAGTGAGATCCTGTACTTACTACATTAAAAAAAAATTGACCTAGGAACTCACTAAGTTGTGGGGGCTGCGCTTGACCCTGCGATCCTCCTGCCACAGCCTTCCTGAGGGCTGGGTGACAGCGCATGCCATCACACCTGCCCTAGCCTGATATCCCGCTGCTCCTGTGCACCTTGGCTGAAACAGGGACACGGCATGAACGGGACAGGCACGGTCTCTATGGCAGACGAAGGTTAGCAAGTGAGAGCATGGATGCCCACAACTGCAGACAGTGAAGGCAGCCAGCAGAGGCACTGGGTGGGAGTGGGGGAGCGCAGGGGGCAGGTGGGCTCAAATCGCCACCCTCAATGGTGGTCAGGAGAGGAGGTGGGGAGCCGCAGGCACACCAGGCAGGGCTGCAGTTGTGTTTTTTTTTGTTTTTTGGGTTTTTTTTGCGGAACCTTATTCCACTGAGCCATCTCCCCTGCCCCAAGGCTGCAGTGTTTAAGGTCAAACTGATAAACCCCTTGCTGTGGTGGTGCATGCCTGTGATCCCAGCGCTCTGGAGGCTGAGGCAGGAGGATCGCTTTGAGTTCTAGGCCAGCCTGCACTACATAGTGAGACTCTGTCTCAAAAAAAAAAAAAGAAAAGAAAAGAAAAGAAAGAAAGAAAGAAAGAAAGAAAGAAAGAAAGAAAGAAAAGAAAAATCCCTCTCTACATACCTAGGAGCCATTCCTTAAATCTTAAATAAATGGACAGTGAATGGACCTGTGATCTGTCCCTCACACAGTCAGTCTTGGCCCCAGACAGCCTCAGACAAGCTCTCCCTGGCCGTGGATGCTGGCTAGAGGTGAGTGCCTTCCTCTCCGGAGGAGCGCAGGGAAGAGCGGGAGCGCCCCGCCCTGTGGCTGGCCGGCCGGCTGGGCAGGTTGTGCACCAGCGCTTCCATCATCCCCTCCTGCATGACACAGGCGTGGGGATGCTAGGCCTGCGCAGCGGCTGGCCCTAGAGCCCCCTATGGGCCACATGCCTAAGCCACCTCTGCTCTTACCTGTGTCCTAAACAGGGGAATGAGGAGGCCACCACACACAGCTCCCGAGCAGAACCTGGCTGTTCTGTGTCTCAGCGTTCTCATCCAGGAAATGGGTCCCTAGGACTTTTCCTCACTCCTCAGCGCTGTGTCTGCCCACCCCACCCCCACCCCGGCCTCACCTCCAGGCCCCCCAGGGGTGGCCTGCCCTCACCCAACAGCAGCAGCTTCAGCTCCCCGCGGTCCTGCTTCTTCTGCTCCAGGAGGATTTTGTTGATCTCCTGGTCGATCCTGGCTGCCGTCTTCTCCTCCTCGGTCAGGCACCAGGGACAGCAGGACCAGGCCAGGGAGTGGGCCATGGCAGGTGGGCCTCAGAGGGCACCTGGGGGCATCGCCCCAGCCCTCGCTGTGCAGGGCACCCCCAGCCCGGCCGTCCTGATGAGGGGAGCTCGTCCCCGTCCCCGAGGACTCTGCCACACGGCCTGGGGCCCCCGGGAGCCGGCTGGGGCTTGGCGAGGCCTCCGCTGGGGACTGGGCGGGGATTCGGAGGGTGGAGGCTCCCGCCCACCCCTACTGCCAAACCCGGCCCGACAGGTTAGCTGCGAGGAGCCAGCTGAGGTTCAGAGGGGCTGCTGAGCGCGGGAAGGCACCCGAAGAGCCGTTGCTGTGGCAGGGACCCGAGGAGGCCACTGAGCCTCCTTCCTCATTCTGGAGAAGGGTGGCCCCCGGCCCCGCCCCGCCAGGCTGCTGACACTGCCTGGAGTGCCACCCCTGCTCGAGGCCAATTAGGAGCTGACATCACGTCTCCTGCTGAGGGCCACAGCCTGTCTTCCTGTCATCCAGGCACACCGGGAGGCTGAGGCAGGAGGACTGCAAGTTTGAGCCCAGCGACTTAGTGAGACCCTGTTGCAAACAAAAAAAATCAAGCACTGGACTGGGGACGGAGCTCAGTGCGAAGGCCCTGGGGTCAGTGGTGGGCAGCACCTGGAGACAGCCGGGGCCCAGCTTCACATGCCTGCTTATTGGACCTGCAGCTGCTCATTGCACCCCACTGGACAGATAAGAAACTGAGGCATGGAGTAAGAGTGTGGCTTCCCCAGGGCCGCTCCAGTGGGATGACAGGGCTGGGAGTGCCTCTGTACCCACAGGGACTGGTAGTTCTGAATGTGCAGAAGGAGCCACGGGGATGGCTTGTGGTTCTTTCCCTCAGCGGAGCATCTGGTGGGTGCCAGGCACGGTTCTGGGCACCGTGGACACTGCGGGGCCAAGTGACAGAACCTACCCAATGCTCTAGCCAGGGAGAAGGCAAAAAGAAGAAGCTCTGAAAACAATCACATCCAGTCGCATGGTGATAAATTATTTTTCTTTCGTTTTGCCAGGATCGAGGTGAAACTCAGGGCCTGGGCCTGCAAAGCAAGCTCTCAGCAGCAAGCGCCAGGCCCAGGCCTCTGCAGTTTGTATTTGGAGATGTAGTCTCCCCTGGCGGCCCCAGCTGGGCTCCAACCGGCTGTCTTCTTGCCTTGACTTCCTCAGCAGCCGCCCTGGCAGGCACCACTTGATCAGGTCTTTTTGTTTTGCTTTTGCAGTACTAGGAGGGAACCCAGGGCCTCGTGCCTGCTAGCAAGCGCTCACCGCGGAGCCGCGCCACACAGCCCAATGCACTGGCCTATTCTGTGAGAAAAAGAGAACCAAGATGTGAGGGTCATGTGGGCAGAGGGGGGTGACTTTATTTATTTATTTATCTGGTACAGGCCAGCACAGCATGCGGTACGAGGGATGGAACCCAGGCTCTCCTTGTGCTTGCCAGGCAGGTGCTTAGACAGCAGCTGAGCTATCTCCCCTGCCCCAGGGTTGATTTTAAATAAGGGACCTAAACCGGTCATTGTGGTGGTGCCTGCAGCCCATCATCTCAACACTCAGGAAGCTGAGGCAGGAGGATCCCTAGGTTGGAGACCAGCTTGGACTACACAGCCAGATCCTGTCTAGTAAAAGGGAGGCAGGGTGGACAAAAGGACTTTCCAGGTCCAGAAGAGGAGTCAGGCCAGACAGTCCCTTTGGGCATAAAAATTGGGAGTTGAACTGGAGATCAAAGAGGCTTTTCAAGATCAGGCCAAGAGACCACCCTGCCTCAGGGAGCTGGAGCCCTGGAGGAAGGCTGGAGGAGCTGCAGCAGGAGTCAGGAAGACAGCGCTAGAGGGACAGTGGGGCTAGCGGGACAGTGGGTCGGGCCCCTGCACCTCTGTGTCCCTGCCAACCCACATCAAGCAGTTCTAGAGTGCTCGCCAAAACCGCCCGGCAAAGCGGAGGGCGGAGCCGGGACTCTTCCAGGCTGGAAGCTCAGAGAGGGCGAGTAGGAGCCCAGGGCCACACAGCCGCGGGCAGCAACGGTCCCTCCCGCCCCACCCGGCTCGGCCTCGGCCGTTGACGGGCCCACGCCTGCCCCGACTGACGAGAAGGAACAGACTGCGGTTTTCTGGCTGTTGATTCACTGCGAATGGCAGATGGGGCGTGTGATAGGGGCCCCGCGGGGTCACCAGGGCCAGGAGGCGCTGCCCTGCCTGCCTGCGCACCGCCCCACCGGATGCACCGCGGGGCTGCGAGGGTCAGGGACCACAGCTGCGGGGCAGGAACCGCCAGCGGCGCCGGGCCCAGGGCAGAGCCTCAGGCTGGGGACCCTCGCGCATCTCCCCAGCTGCACTCCAGACTGACTCCCGGAAGGGCTAGCCCTTGCTCCGACACCATCCATGGCTCCTATTGGCTTCACAGTAAAGAACGCGGCTCCCTCCCTCCCTCCCTCCAGCGCCCTGGGGTGGCCCCCTGATGGGGGGTTCAGTTCTCCAACTTGAAATTAAAAACAAGCCACTTCCTGTCCACGTGCTGGGGCCTGGCCCGGATAATCTGGCACTTTTTTTATGAGTTCATTCATCTGGGAATATAAGCATGAGCCTGCGTGTATCTAAAATACTAAAGAAAAAAAGGAAAAGGGAAATTCAGCTAAGCACCCAATTCAGTGAATCACACCAGTCATCTCAGGTACTCAGGAAGCTGAGGCAAGAGGATGACGAATGGGAGCCCAGATGGGGCAAATTCGCAAGAGTGTGTCTCAAAATAAAATTTTATTTTATTTTATTTTATTGATTTATTTTTATGTATCTAGTACAGGGTCTACAGGGCCTCACTACACAGATTGGACTCGTAGTGATCCTCCTGTTTTCAGCCTCCCAAGCACCGGGATTATAGGTGCACATGCCCAGTCTCAATCACCATCTCAGTGCACCCGGGGGACAGGGACGGCACGGCACACACGGGATTGAACCCCGGTCCCTGCATGTGCCTAATCAAAATGAAATTTTAAAAGGGCTGGGAATGGAACCCAGAACCTCACAATGTGCTAAGTACATTGAACTACACCCCCAGCCCATCTATATATCTATATATCTATATATATATATATATATTAATTTATT